TAATCTCTTATATTCAAGAACTCATGTGTCGTTGCCAAGATAAAGCAAAACATATGAAAACATTGAAAAGGGAATATGATATTTTAAAAGAATAAAAATATTTCTCAAAACAAAATTGAATCTTTGGATAAAGATCACATTTCTCAAGTAAATCAAATGAACGATAAAACCTTTAGCAAGCATGAGATAGCTCTTCAACATTTTATCATAACAGGCCTTTAGAGAACAAAACTTACTTCCAAGATATATGGAGTAAGTAAGAGCAAAGGAAAAAGTCTATGTTACAATAATAAATGTGGTATCTTTAAAGCTCAACTATTGAAAAACTCATATGCTTCTTCTTCAAGCAGCGCTCAAACAACGTTGAAAACTTGTTTTGTGCCTGCCTTTGATAAAGTTAAAAGTCTCAACCAATCAAAACCCAAGATAACATAATCAAAGGTTCTGAACAAAATAGTACCTAAGATGTCAAAATTAAAGGTTTTGAAGAAATCAAATCCTAACATTCAAAAATCAAAAGGTTCTGAATAATCCATAACCTAAAAATCCCAAGTCAAAGATTTTGAAGAAAGTAGAACCTACGATCAATGAATCAAAGATTCTGAAAGGTTCAAATGTCAAAACTTATCCAAGACAAAACTTTTATAAGAAAATTTTTTGGAATGACTATAGACCCTTCTATAAGAAAAAAAGCTCAAAATAAAAGAAAGCATGTTAGAAATAACAATAGAGGACCCATAAGAATATAGGTACCTAAATCCCAAATTGTTTTTGCTACAAATATGCCTAAAGGAAGAAACAAGGCAACAAGCATGGTACCTAAACAGTGGCTGCTAACGTCATATGATGGGAGAAAAACTTATGTTCCAAACCCTGACTCAGAAGGAGGAAGGTAGTGTGGGGTTTGGAGGAGGACAAAAGGAGAAGATTATTGGTATAGGCATTATTGGTAACTCTTTAATCTCTGTCGATAATGTTTGGTTAATAAGTAGACTTAAACATAACCTTCTGAGTATAAGTCAATTTTGCGACAGTGGTTATAAAATTTAGTTTGATAAGAACTTATGTTCAGTCATCAATGGGTCTGACAAATCCATTATGTTCAAAGGTAAGAGGAAGGGAAATGTTTATAAAATTAACCTTTTTGAATTGATTGACCAAAAGGTTGTTTGTCTTATGTTAGTGAGTGATGAAAAATGGGTATGACACAAAAGGTCAGGTCATGCTAATTGGAGGTTGATCTCTAAACTTAACAAGCTAAAACTTGTTAAAGGACTGCCAGATCTTGATTATCACTTAAATGCTTTCCATTGAACATGTCAAGTAGGAAAAATTAAAAACTTTTTTCAGATCCAAAAACGTTATCTCAACCTCTAGACCCTTAGAATTGCTTCACATTGATTTAATTAATAATCAAACAAATCAGATGGTTAAAAGATAACAACAACTCTTATTGCACAAGTAAAAAAAATGTGCGCTATAGTTAGTTGGAAAATAAGCGCATACAGAAACAACCTTGTCCTGTAGACAATGGCCACATGTTGTGACATCTGTTCCCACATGTATCTTTATTCATAAAAGAAGTTGGAGTCAGAAGTGTCACGCCTGCTAGAACATCATGTCTAACATGTGTTCATACCATGTTGTTTTGTATAATATAGTCAATCCAAAAAGGAACAATAACATTCCCCTTTGGCAAATATTGTCGAGAAGGTGAAGCTGATTTTTCAAGAAGTGACAGAAAATAATGAGGATTTGACTTCTGCTCGAACATCTTTATTCAGGGTGGAGACCGCTGTTGATGAAGCAAATCGGTCTTTGGGTCCTTCCCATAAAATAATAAAGCTCAAGAAGTCTTTGAAGAAGTCTCAAGAATGTCAGAAAAAAACAAAGGATGACTTTCATAAGATGTTTCTCGAGAACATTTCCTTGTCTATGGAGGTAACCAATGTTTGAAAGTGCCTTTAAGCCGCTGAAGTACTTTTATCCTACTAAGCCAATCTCTCAAGAGCAAGTTTTTCTTGACCAAGCCATTGATGATAAGAAGGTTGTCTCATTGGTGGACTATTTATATTTATTTATTTAACCCCTATATTTGTACCCAAAATATGTGAATTTAGTGAATAAGTAACATTTGTTGTTTTTGTTCTACAATGTACATTTCCATTTTGTTAGTCACAAATGTTTTTACATATTTATGGGTTGTTAATTTCAGTATCGAGTTTGTTTATCTGGGATAGAGATTTCCTCTAATGTCATGAATAATGTTTTATTAAACATCTTTGGGGACCATGCCCTACCAAGGGTTGATATGCCTTTCCCTCACCCAGGTGAAAACCTAGTTCGAGGTTGATGTATGGTAGACTCACCATTGTTTCTAAAGTAGCTAGCTACCAAGATAGGGGTGAGCTGATATTTTCCACTTTGTGTGTGTGCATTGGTATTATGGGGTTTTGATTGCTTTAGTCATATGCTAGTGGTATTTATGACGACACCCTTGAGTATTTGTGATGGTACTTTAATTGCTTTGGTCGTACCCCATACTCATTGTTACCTTTCATAATCATGAAGACATGAGATAATTTAGTGGAAATTTATTTATTTTTTGTTGGAACATAATTTTGCATTATAAAATTGCATTAATGATTTTACATAAGGACTGAATTGAAATTAAACAAGTGGCGTAGCCATTGCTTATTAACCACCAGGGATATGGCTGTTAGCTTTGACTTCACTTTTGTTGGCTACTTGCACATATCTTGTTGGAACTATATTGTTTATATCCCTTAGATTTTAATGATAACAAAGTATTTAGAGAACAAATGTGTATATTATCATATGTTCAAGTTTGCAGGATCACAAGCTTAAAATTCACTATGAATTAATCATGATGAAAGCATGTATAGAGAAGCAATGTTCCTTAGATTTTGTATAGTCAAAATCTGGTGACTCTGAATGTGTTCATCAGCCTCTGAAGGTTCAGACTCTTGTAATATGTTCCAGCCTCTGGTGGCAGCTCAGACTCTGTAGGACAAATGTGCCTTTGATCCGTACTATGTACCAAAACTAGACATGTCTTGTCAAAGAGTCAGATTTCTGAAAAGAGACAACTAGGGTTTTGTTTTGCGAGGCTTAAGGAATGGTGATGTGATCTCCTCTGTCTGTTCTACCTTTTGGTAGATACCTAATACTTCAAAAAATGTTGTGAACAAAGCCATTATTTAGTGGGTAATGCTTCTAACCAGATACATCCTCCAACGTATCTCTTGGCATGCTTTTTCACTAAGTTAGCTCTTATGCTCAAACCCTCCAACGACTCTTTCTCCACCTGTATAAAAGGAAGCTGGAGATTGGAAGGAAGGTGCACAACAAATCTACAAAGCAATATAATATCTTGAGCATAACTCTAAACTTTTATTTGTAATTGTTATTGTATAAGATATTAAGATTTCTTATATTTGTATATCTTAAAAATTTTAAGAGGTTAAGAACCTTTCTGGTTGTTGCACAACTGCTATACTTCTGATTTTGAATCTAAGTATAGTAGTTATATTTTCTACTAAATTGTTTGAATAAAGTAGAGGAAGTCTCTTGCCTGCATGGCTGAGCATTGAAGTCTCTTATCTGTGTACTTGAGTAGTGAAGTTTCTTTTTAGGTTGATTGAGCAAAAGTTTCTTACAATGTTGCTTGAGCAGAAGTATATTTCTAGGTTGATTGAGCATTCATGTGTTTTGCAAGTGCGCTTGAGCAAAGTTTAATCTATTTGGTTATAGTAAAAAGCTCTTATTGAGGCAAGAGGATTGGACAACTCTCAGTAGAGGAAAGGAACTAGGATAATATTTGTGTGTTTCTTGATTTTACTTCTGATCACTTTTATTTTCGCTGATATTACTATTTCTGATATCAGACTCTGAACGTTGTTCAAATTTTGAAGTTGCATTTTCAGAAGTAAAACGGTTTTTGGCGTACACAATTCAACCCCTTTCTTGTGTATTTTTATCATCTTCAGTTGGTATTAGAGTCTGATTTATGTTAAACACTCCACCGTGGTACAGTAAATGATCTTAAGAAAAATATACTTGACTTATCATGTTGGATGCTTTTGTTTCTTATGACTATAATACTAATGAGAAACGTCATTACCCTACTAAACCACCTTCATTAGTTTTTTTTTAAAAAAATTTGTAATGTATTTCATAAAAATATTAATAAATAATTTTTTGTGTTTAAAAGTTATTATAAATATATAGTTTAATTTGGTTCAGAGAGTTATAACACGAATGAATTTGAATAGAAATTAAATGAAATACACTAACAATGTAAAGAGATTTTACACCGTCAATTAATTGTAGACATTGAATGTTGAGAAGAGTTTGACTTTTATTCTAACCACTTATAAAGTGATACAAACAGAAGATAGTGATGAATTGATAGTATAATCTTTTTTTACACCGATAGTGTATGGTAATTAATCTGATTTAAATAAGTTAATATTACTAATTTTATTTGAATTTAATTGAAATACACCGACAATGTAAATTTTTTTTATATTGTTAATTAATCACAACCGCCAATTTATTTGTAAAGTTTGATTTTTATTTTACCCACTTGAAAATTAATACATATAGATAGTTGCAATATATTGAACGTGTAAAATTTTTTATACCGACACTAACCGTATATAACAATTAATCTCATCTTATTTTAAAAAAATATTTATAAATTATTTATCGTTAAATATCATCTCATTTTATAATATTGTAAAGATAAAAATATAAACTATATTCATCTCTTCCATTCTTACAACAAACATATTTTTAATTAAAATTTTCTGCTCCCTCTTCTAAACCAATATATATATATAATTAAAAAATCTCTAATCTCCTATCCCTTTCTCTTCCCTCCATTAAAATCTTCCCCTCCCTCTATTTCATTTCATTTGAACCAAACATACATATGTTATTATAATTAGGGATAACGAGTTGTAGAGAGCAAGGACATGGTATTGGGTTCATTTGGAAGATACTTTAGTATGAGGCACCAAAACTCTAAGATTCAGGGTTTATACGATCACTGTAAAAACACTTTCTCTCCCTCCGGAATACCCCTTCCTTCTTCCCAAGCTTTGCACAAGCTTTCTTTAATTCTTGGTATGTATCTCTCTTACATTTTTCTCAATATTCAAGTGTTCAATTACGGATTAGAAATGGCAAGATTAGAGAGAGTATTGGGGTATCACCTATAGTAGAAAAGATGGTGGTAATTTTTGAACTTCGAAATGCACAACTTAGTTGCAGTTTTGAGTAATGGATTATTGATCTATTAGTATTATTCATGATTCATGACATAGCAGACACGATTCGACCTGCTGATGTTGGGCTTAAGGAGCAAGCTGCAGATGATGACCGAGGGCTTGGATTTTTCGGTGTTAACCAACAGAGTAGAATGGCTCGATGGGCTAAGCCCATAACATACATCGACATTCATGAATCTGATAGTTTTACGGTGAGCTTTAGCTGTTTGTTAGTACTTTTGAATGTACATCAATGGGCTAAGTTGTATTGCATGTAAAAACACCCAGCTCATAAGTTGTAAGACCATGATATGTTTCCAGGCTTAAATTATTTTTCTACCATATGTTATATAATCAGCCATGGTAACTATTAATAATCACTTTTTCGGCACTATGATAATCAGTTTGTGCGTGTTTGTATTTATTAAGATGCAAGCTTCATGTCTATGCCTGTGTATGTTCATTTATTATTTTTCATTATTGTTGTATTTCACCTAATTGAAGATGCGTCCTGTCAGTCAAATATAGCCAAACTGTTAGTTGCGATCTTGTTATCGAGTTAGTCACGATGTTTGAATCATAATATCAATTATAGTGATTTTTATATGTTATTTAAACTGTATGAAACTAGGTTGACACTTCAAATATTGTGTGTAAATTGGTGCAGATGTGTATATTTTGTTTTCCAACTTCTTCAGTTATTCCACTCCATGACCATCCGGGAATGACTGTGTTTAGCAAACTTCTCTATGGATCTTTACATGTGAAAGCTTATGATTGGGTCGAGCCACCCTGCATTGTAGAAAGCAAGGGACCAGGACATCCTCAAGGTATGACATGTATAGTATATTGCATGTACTTAGAAGGCTCTGTTTAGATAAACAGCTCAATTAAGCACTTAAATGATATGTGCTTATGGATAAGTTATTTCTATAACAAGATAAAAGAAAGTCACACTGGTTTCTTATAAGTTATAAAATAAAGTCAAACTATTTCTATAAGTTATTCTGGAGAAATTATGAAAAATAAGCTGAAAACTACTTAAGGACATGTCATAAGTTGTTTCCGTAATCTCTCTTAGTTAGTCTCACTCTCACCAGTGCTTATATGTTAGAACCCCAATAGTGGTCTCGTATGACATATTTCCCAGCCCACTGAAAATTTAATTTAGGAAAATAAAAGAGGGAAGAAAGGGAATGATGATGTGGTAGGGGATGAGAAAAGTTTGTTACCCAAGTTTAGGGGGAATCAGATATATAGGTAGGTATCTTTTGGAAGACCATTTATTAGTTGTGGACATAGAATATTGTTCTATGTAGGAGCTTAGCTCTTGCCTCTCTGGGCATTAGGATATTCATCCTTTTGTAGTTATCTTCAGTGTTTTCAAATGGCGGCGCCATGGCCGCTATGACGAATATACATAGCAGTTTTTGGGCTCTCCGCAATGGTAAATATTGGTCGATATTGCAGATTTTCCGTCATAGTTCGCAATAATGGCGCGCAAAGCGCCCGGTATGGCGGGATTTTGGCTCTTCGCCATGGACCGCCATCCGCCATCGACAACATTGTCTATCTTACAATTTCAGAAATACTATACTTATTCTTTCATTATTGATCTAATTTCTCTGTTAAATGCTACCGTGTGAATTGGGTTCACTTCAAATTGATCCGGCCTACCAGATAAGTCTTGATCGGACCAACACTTTAGGAAGAAGACGAAGCAAAGGAAAATTCCCACATCAGGAAAATGGAAGCAAGATTAGAAGCTATGGGATGACTTTTGAGAGATGTAGATGATGCAAAAAGAAAATCATGAGAAGTTGGTTGCAATGTTGACTAAAAACCCGAGTAAGAGTATAGGTGAGCCTCATGAGCAAAGTCTAATTGACTATGGACGGAGAAACATTGCATATGAGAAGGAAAACAGAGAATCGCAAAATCACCCATCAAAAGAGGCTCACATAACAGTAGATCTGAAGAATCCGCATGAGGAACAATTGGGCGTATCCACAGAACCCTGCTGTAATCACATCTTCATCAAGACCTGCAAACCCAGGCTCACTCCTGACGACGACCCTTCCATGGTCAGTCCCACAACCAAAGCCTCCACAAGCGTCGCCATCGGTCAGAGGCTTACTCGCAATGGTTGGAGAGTTTCGTATAGCACAAAAGGTGGTTGCTGCCACACCACCACTGGAACCACTGACATTGATCTGATCGCAGTTGCACCTCCACAGCATGAGACTCCGGAAGTCGACCTTTCTTGAGAAAACCACGCGGCTGATAAAGAAATCACCATGGCTGCACACTTTCTATGATTTGACTTTGAATAAGGAGGAAGATAGATCACAAATGTGCCAAATGGTGCATTGTTAGTTCATAATCACATCTCTTCCTTTATTGAAGTAAAAGTCCATTTGGTTTGATTGAGTATTTTCTAAGAATTGATTTAGTGAAATCTAATATTTCATATATAAAAAAAGAAAAGAAATGACCCATCTGGTTAGGATTAATTGCGGAAGATGAATTTGATTGGATCAATCCCATTATTTCATTTCATTCCAAGGCAAAAATTCAACAATAACTTAGCCAAAATCAGAGAACTATTCGTATGTTACACTGTTGAGTAGAAATAAGGAATGTCGATCCCACCTTCAAAGATTTGACTTTGAATAAGAAGGAAGATGGATCACAAATGAGCCCAATGGTAGATTTGACTTTGAATATGGAGGAAGATAGATCTCAAATTAGCCAATTGGTGTATCGTTCCTTCACAATCACACCGCCACCAAAGCCTTCGGACACCTGTTTGTGGGCTACGGCTCATCCACAACCTTAAACGATGGCAAAAGAGTCCATCTGAGCCGAGTGGGTACCTTTCGTGGTAGTTTCAGCTTGGAAAGTTTTAGAGAAGGTAGGAGCATAGGTGTTATTCTGTAACCTGGATCAAATCTTATACCTAATGGACCTGGCCGAGTGTGGTGATATTGCCTTGGTTCCAAATAGAAGGGCATGTCAAGTAAAATTGGTGTGTCCTAAGCCAAAAAAAATGTGGTGCTACAAAATCTTGTGAAAATTGGAATTCGTCCGACATTATGATATTGCTGGCGATTTTTTTGGCTCTCCTCCATGGCCAATTTGTGAAGGATGGCAGCGCCACAGCACCATATGTCGGATATGGCGGTGCCTTATGTCAGAATTTTGACTCTATGCCATGGTCTGCCATCGGTAACACTGCATTAAGGCGACTTCAACATATGCTTTTGGGCTTAAAAAGATTATGGGTCAAACTTTTGGGATGGGCCTTATTTTCATTCATGGTTCTGCACCAACACATGCGACTTCCATTTCCCTCTTGGAGACATTAACTGCATTGGGCGCTGGATCAATCTTAAGTCGGCTCAGTGGTTGCAGCTTAAAAGACAGAAAGGTGTTAGAGCTATTATATATATGTTCGATGAAGTTGATGTTGCTTGTGCTCAAAGATTTAACCTATACATCATTCTTGTGTTCGTTGGTTATGGTGATCATGTGTTGGTTCCACTAGCTAATTTTCAATATACATCTGAAGTGTTATGTAATATACTTATCCTTCAATTATTGATCTAATTTCTCTGTTAATTGCTACTATGTGAATCGGGTTCACATCATTATGGCAGTAGTTAAGTTCAAATTTGCCAAGTCCAAACAAACCCTTCCCTCTAGTATCAAACTCTTGCCACTAAGTTGACACTTCGTAGACAGACACATCTTTCTTTGAGGACAGACATTATAAAAAATAATATTCAGGAAATCTATTTTTATCATAGTTATTGTAAAAATCATCATGTTTAATGGCTTATTCACCCTTCCCTTTTGCATCCATATTTCAAACCTACTTGATAATTGAGTTTATTTCTTAGTTTCATTTTTTCTTTGTTGCAGTAAGACTAGCAAAGTTAGCAGTTGATAAGGTTTTGAATGCACCGTGTGAGCCATCGGTTTTATATCCAAAGCAGGGTGGAAATCTTCACTGTTTCACTGCAGTAAGACCTTGTGCGATGCTGGACATTCTCGCGCCTCCTTACAAAGAATATGAAGGAAGGAAGTGTACTTACTATCACGACTATCCTTATTCAACATTCTGTAAGTAACTTAGAAATATCGCTCGATTTCTAAGGCTTTTCAGTAATAAGGCTAAATCTCCTTCATCAACTGTGAGTGATTTTCTTGGTGCTTGGCTTTTGCAGCTGCAGGAAATGGACCTGTATGTGATGGGGAAGAGGATGAATATGCTTGGCTTGCAGAGACAGAACCTAGTGGTCTTTATATGAATAGTGGTGTATATGCTGGTCCACCTATTAAGCCATAGTTTTGCTGCTTGGATTTTAAAGCAATTGCATTTTTCTTGTTGTAAATTGTGGATAATATTACGTTGGAAATTTCTAGAGTCTGTTTGATTACAAAATTTTACCTGTCTTTTTACACATTTAAAAATAGGAAACGAATTGAATTTAAGGTGACAAATTTATTTGTAGATAAAAGTTTAAAACAACAAATGAAACAAGAAAACTTATCATGTTTGTCATCCATTGAGATTACTAACAAGAGGATCTAAACTGCTGGTAGGATGCTAACACCAAAGAATTTGTGTCTTCTCGTGTAAGGTTGATTTGTGTTGAAAAACCAATGAAAAATACAATCCCACAAAGCATATGTCAGAAAATAAATATTAATGACATTTGACTTTTAAATTTAAAGAGTAAAACTATAAGACCGTAAAACTTTCCAATGACCACTTAGGAATAGCAATCATCAAATAAGATTGGTAGTCTATTTTGGTGAAAATATTTATGTCTAGAGAGTAACTAAGAAATAAAATCACCTATTAGCAATTTAGTACACTTAGTCTTACATGTTCAATGTCTTTTTCTAAACCTACTCAATGAACTTGTATTTAGGTCTCTCCCAGAATACGAGAACTTCTTACTTCCTTCTATCATTAGTTCCGAATGAATTAACGTCTTAAACTAAAGAGTGTTAATATTGCAACTCAACAAAATCAAATCACCTCTGTGATTTTATAATTTGAATGGAAGCAATAAAGTGATGCACAAGCAACAAGAGTTTTTGACAAAAGAAACCCCAACAATCAAAATAGGAAATTCAATTTAGAATTTCAACAAAAGACTACAAGGAATTCAATTTAGAATTTCAACAAAAGACTACAAGGAATTCACAAAGGAATTCCCAAAAAGAAAGACTCAACTAAAACCTTAGTGCAATAGTCTCCAATCCAAGTGCATGATATTCAAGCTAGGTTTGAGTCTCCTTGTATCGAAATCCCATCTTCTAGGTTTTTTTCCATGGGAAGTAGCCTAATTTCGTTCAAAATTAATCAAGTAGATTTTATTTTATGCAATCCAGAAATATAGATTATTTGTTTTTGTAGCAAACTTTTGAAAAATAGACTTGATTTGATTTGAATTTAAAATCTCTTAATAAAAGATATAATCATGTTTATTCTTCAGATAAATCCAATCAAGTATTACTAACAAAATAGGAGAAAATATATTTTCAATCAAACAAGATTTTCGCTCCAAAATAACAAACATTTGCCTACTGTAAAGGTCAGATGTTACAGGGGCACACATGCTGGAACATTGTGTTCCTTATGTGTCCTTCTTCAGCAATAAGTAATCAAACACAAGCCTGTTGACAAAGGCTAAACGCTGCATAAACAACACACATGCTTGACCATTGTGTTTTGCATGTGTAAAGTCTATATATGAAGCACTCACAAAGGTGCAACTCCTGGAATGTTGCAGAAGACCTGATGTCATACACACATGTTGGAACATTGTGTCCCACATATGTATATTCTTCACCTTAAAACATCTTGAACACTCCAATTTATTTTGCTTTGAATGCATCCAATGCATAGGAACTACAAGAAGAACAACAAGTTTGTCAACATAAGCAAATAAGATTGGTGTTATATGGGTATTTAAGACCAAGATGAATAAAAAGACAGAAGCATACAAATTCAAAGCTCTTCTTGTAGCGAAGGGGTATGCTTAACAAGCTATAATTGATTACATTAAGGTATTTGCACTTGTGGATGATGGGATACACTTCGATTAACTTTGTCCATTCGATTAACTTTGTCCATTGTATCTAGTCGAGGATGGAAAGTTTATCAACTCAATGTCTAGAGTGCATTCCTACATGGAGAGATAGTAGAGGAATTATATGTGGAACAACCGAAGGTATATTAGGGGACAGGTGAAGAAAACAAAGTGTATAAACTAAAGAAATCTCTCTATTGGCTTAGACAGGTTCCTCGAGCATGGTTCAACAAGATAGAATCATACTTTATCAAGGAAGACTTTAAACGAAGCAAAGTGATCACACTTTGTTTACAAAGAAGTAAGGGGTATAGACATTCTATAGTGATTTGTTCTTCCTTAGAAATAGCTAGGATATAGTCGTGTAAATCATGGATGCTTATTTTACTTCTTTCCTATTTCTGTATTGGCTATATAATCCATTCATTTCATTGAAAAAATTAAGCTTAAGAGCTACAATGTGATCTTAATAGTAACTTCATTTATATATAGAAGAGCTAGCATGGATGAAAGTGAAGTTGTGTAACAATGCCTCCCTTTCTGAACCACGAGGTGTTGAGTTTGGAAAAACATAGCACCAAGTATATAGGAGGAGGATTGTTAATGTTGTAAAAACACAAATTCCACATACACATACCTTTTATACGCATGACATGACATATCAAAAAAATCTTATTAAATAAATGTTTTTCAATGTTCACTTAAGCGAAATGTTAGGCATAATCTGATTTCAAACATTCTCTCTTATTTGGTGAAACACATGTGGATCTTATCAATTTATGTGGTATCCATTTCTAAAGTGAGGGACTCACACACGTTTAATCAATAAAAGAGTGAGTGTTTGAGAGTGTTTCTAGAACTCCTCCAAAGTGAAATATTGGAATTTTACATTAGTGAGCGAACAAACTAGATTGACTTGATCAAATATTTTGTCATTGCTTGTGTCATGTAGTAGTTTCCCCAAGTGCATTAGCATTTTCCATCTCATGCACAGAACTGAAAACCGAATGCACAGATTGTGCCTTTCATCATAAAGCATCAATAATTTGAAATTAAACAAATATTCTGACCATTTCACCTCATCAGCCAAACCATACCTAATAGTCTGGTTTCTTCTTAAACCTGCATCTTATACTACATTGTTCTTATGATTAGCGTGATGTTGGATTTCTTCAATCCAGAGTAGGCTTTCCGATAAAGCCTGAGAGTTCTGTTGTTGCACCATATTATAGACATAATTCAAGAGTTTGTTATCTCCCAACACACCAAGGCTACCCTACAACAGTTGAGGGTTATGAAGCATTTCTGGCCTAGATACCGTGTGCAGTGGTGGATGTTTGAATGACAGTTCACTTTGTTGATGTTGTTGAGTAGATCTGAGGAAGGGAAGAGTTTAAGACGCTCCTTGCATTTCCCTAGGATGGACAAGATTGCAGTGGAGGTATGGATGAAGAATCCATGGGGGTTTGATCGTTCTCTCCTTGAGGATGAGGTGGCAGATCTTTGGTGGTTGCATCAGCGGTGCCTGTGGCAACTTCATGTAGAGCGGCAAATAGAGTAGATTTAGAAACTACCATCGTTGAAGATTCTCGAATGGAAATTTGATGAATGAGAATCAGAACTTCACAAAAGAAGATCAACGAATGGAATTCTGCAGCTCAGAGGAGAGAGATCCGAACTTCTAGATTGGAGGAGTTTCATTTCAGTAGACTGATGAATGAATGTTTGAATATGGAAATACACGGGAATTAGATGTCAATTTCCATAGACAATGCCATTCTATTGGTGGAACCACACTTAATTGATGAATATGTGATGAGGATATCTATGATGTACTTGAGCTTCCGATACGATAATCCCAAGTCTTCGATGCAAAGGAGAGAAGACGATCTACAAAATTATCACTCTAATGTCTAAGTAAATATGAGAGTAAAGTGAAACTAAGAATTGAATTTTAATTATCCATGAAATAGCAAGCTTTCATCATTTTATAGTAGGAGCAGTTATAACCGCTCGCTGAATTGGCAGGGGTATTGCGCGGGGCACCGTTCAATTAATCTGGATCGTGTAGAATGATCCAAGGGTTGAAATTACTTATCTCCCTGTGAATAAAGGTAGACATATTTCACGTGTAATCTAGCATGCATTTTGCTTTTTAGATGCACAAAGGGTTATATTAATAAGTTTTTTCAAAGATATATAAACATTTTTAGTTTAAAGTTTTCTTATTATATTACAAATCAGGAATAGTATCCATTTAAAATTGAATAAGAATTTAAATAAAATGAACTTAGTTACATTTGTTGGGGACAAGAACCACAAGTTTATACAATTGAACAATGTGGAGAAGGTGAGAAGAATGAGTAGAATGATGAATATTCTTCATAAAAGACCCAATATGATACTTATACAAAATTATATGACACAACACGTCTAACCAACTTAATAGAAAATAAAATATGAAAGGTGGTAATCGGTTACCAATCCGTGGTAATCGATTACCACAATACACTACTTACAAGTAATCAGTTGCGCCAAGTGATAATCAATTACAAAAACTTTTTGTCACTATTAATAATTAGTTACGCCTTCTTGATAGACTCACCTATGTGATTGTGGAACTTAGATCAGTTTCTATGAAATATCGAGACATAATTTCTAGAGCTTTCACTAAACCAGGATGCATGTGCAAGACCATTAAAGCACAAGTCATTAGAATACACCTTAAATAAAAGGTTGTGTGCAGGTTTGATCTCTAAGGTAGAGTTCAAGATATTTGTTTCACTCTTTTTCAATCAGAATCATACTTGATACGCAAATGTTCAAGTCGTAGACACTTCTGCTTATGCACAATTTTAAAAACGTTTGACGTTACTTCTAAAAATCACCTTTTAAATTCGAGCGGAGATTGTTGGAACTCAAGAATGATGATAATCATGGGAACTTGAAGTGGATACTTGGAACTTAGAGTGTGCAATAAATGAACACAAGTATAAATTAATGTGATTAGAAGTGAATTTGAAATGATTCATTTTAGTCCCACATACGAGCGAAAACACATTAGTATTTATATATTGCATGTTGGCCAAATGGGATGGGTCTCAAAGGGTATCAAATTTTGTGGTTGGATGAGAACACACTACCATGAACCATTACACACGCGCGCGCCGCCGTCTGTTCGTCTGGCTCGGCTGGGCTCGATTCAGTACGGTTATGGGCTTGGGCTTTATCCAAAAGTATTTTT